GGAACAAGAGGGGAAGGGGTAGGTAAGAGGAGGGATAGAGAACGTAAAGATGAGAGGAAGGTGGTTGTTGCCTGATGTGTGGAATGAAAGAATGGTACCTTCCATTTCGACCATGAAGTGGTGCCATATGGCACCACACATGCCATGCACATGATGATGCACACACCATGCACATGATGATGCACACACCATGCACATGATGTTGCACACACCATGCACATGCCATGCACATGCATGCATCGCCGCCACCCATCCGCCCACCCACCCCACTCACACTCATGGGGGTGTGCGTTGTGCCTCGTACTCTTGAGGAACATGCTCCTGGCGTCGCTTGCCGCCTCTGCTGCCTCCTTGCCTCGCCTCACCTGCTCTCTTCCTGCCTCGATGTCTCCATTAGGCCGTGCCACATGCCCACGACAACACTGTTAGGGCCAATGCGTATGAGCTGTTTCAAACGGGGAGAAATTGGGAAGGACGCGGAGTAGCGGAAGAGGGGAGAAACCGGTGGGGGTGGGGGAGGGGGAGGATTTGAAAGCAGGGCAGCAAGGGAGGCGTGCATGAGCACGCCGATGCACCGATGCACATTAGCTGAGTGTGAGCGAGAAGGATGGGTCACGGGAGGGATGAGGGGAGGGGAACAGGTAAAACGCCAAGGACATCAATGGGGGCAGGCATGGGAAAGAGCGGGAAACAGAGAAAGGACGGGAGAGAGGAAAAGGAGGAGGACAACACAAGGCAACAGAGGTAATTCACTGGGGGCGAGCACAAGAGAGGCCCCGAGAGCCATATCGTGCTGGAGGGCCTCTATGGAGGGTACCGGAGGAGCAGGAGAGTAGCCAGGGGTGACCGGGGGTGCAGTGCAGTGCAGGAGCTGGCGGCTCATGCTGCATACCAAGCACCAACATTGGGTCCAGGTGTCAGGGAGATGGTCAAAGGGGGTGGTTGCAGGAGGGATAAAGCAAGGGAAGATGAGGGAGAGGCAGCTCAGAGCGAGTAGGACGGCCAGGTTGAGGGGGTGAAGGGAGAGGGGGGGAGGAGAGGTGGGGATGGAAGAGTGTGACAAGTGTGTGTGGGGCTGTGGGGGATGCAGATAAAACACTCTTCAATCACTCATAGATGCACTTGAAATGAACACCACAAAATCCCGCATCTCTTAGAGGCTGGAAAATAAGAATCACCTAGAATCTCCCAAAGATGCTTCTGACCAGTGCATATTCCATCAGGGCCACTTGCAGCCTGGCCACTGCGATGTTGCTCGCCCACCGCACTACACCATCGGCAGCATCATCGTGTGACTTAATACATGCTGCTATTCTGCCAGCTTCCACCTCCGCAGTCCATCATTGTGTAAACTACCTAACACCCGCTCCAACTGCAACTGCACCCGTGTGGCTCTCCCAACCCTCTCCCTGCCCCCGCATCTCAGGGGCAAGGACACGGGGCGAACACGAACGTGTTTGCCACGAACACATTCGTGTTCGCCTGCGTCAGCAAGGTGATCGCCTTCACATGCGAACAGCAAACACCGTTTTTGGCTAAGGGCGTGTAACTTTTTCCGTTTTGGTCAAATGTCCGGACGGAGCCCCCAAATCGTCCGAACGGAGCCCCGTCCGGACGTTTGGGACTCAGGTCCGGACGACAGCCCGTCCGGACCACAAATGTGAAACTTTTTGCACTATCGATTTTTTTTAGTTTCGCCACGAAATGTAACAGGCCTTACTGCAATCGTAAACGTGTCGTGAGGGCTCGCCAAAAAAAATCAGCGGCGTGGTATTGGGTGAGATTTTTAACAAATCGTGCGCCAATGACAGCGCAGAAAAATCGGACGGTCCGATATGCCGTTCGGACGGTGTCAGCAGGGTAGTCCGGACCAATTTTTTACAGAAAAGTGTCAGACATGGTCCGGACGATGGCGACGTCGCAGAGTGTCTGGCGAATCTCTTACCGAGGTGCTGCGAAATTAGTTACCCTACAAATGTCCGGACGGGGCCTTCGTCCGGACGATGAAAAATGAAAAAGTTACACGCCCTAAAGCTGTTCGGCGAACCGAACAGTGTTCGGTTCTCCGAACGACGGTGTTCGTGCAGGGGCGAACGCGAACACGTTCGTGTTCGCCTCTTGCTCAAGCCTACTTCCTAAGATTTTCCTGCAATACTCAGGTTTGTCAGCTTATTAGGCGGTTCGTGATGGTTTAGCATTTCCTCTAGGTTGTTTTTTTTTTTTTTTTAACCATTGAATTCGCACAAGTCATCGGCTCAGCCAGCCTCACATTCTCACTCTCATCTTCCCGCACTTCCTTGCTCTCCCCATCAGCCTCAACCCGGTGCTGTCCTGCGACACTGACCTCAAGATCGGACTCTACCTCTGCGTTGCACCCAAGACCCCTCCGGTAAACACCCATTTCACTTTGATTTTACGTTAACTTGCAAAATCAAAGTGAAATGGGTGTTTACCGGAGGGGTCTTGGGTGCAACGCAGAGGTAGAGTCCGATCTTGAGGTCAGTATCGCAGGACAGCGCCGGGTTGAGGCTGATGGTGAAAGCAAGGATGTGCGGGAAGATGAGAGTGAGAATGTGAGGCTGGCCGAGGCGACGACTTGTGGGGATTCAATGGCTGAAAAAAAAAAAAAAAAAAAACCTAGAGGAAGTGCTTAACCATCACGAGCTGCCAAATAATAAGCTGACAAACCTCAGGAAGCACACACATTTACAAGCTTTGGGAAACAACAAAAACAAAGAACGTGTATAGTCGTGGACCCACAAAAGCGTACCTCATGAAAGTGCTGAGCGCGATGTTGTATTTGGTGGCGATCGCGTCGCACGTGTCGCCAACCACTTACGTGTACGTTTGACCGCACTGCGGCACGGTGATCTGAAAGGTTGTTCCGGATTGGGGAGGGAAGGGTTGGAGATTCAAACGTAAAACAGATTCGTGCTTGGAGATTCGCAGATGCTAGCATGTACACTTGGTTGCACTCAGGCACAGCCGTACAGTTCAGAGTAGAGGGGAAGCGGAGGCTTTCGTAGGGTTGCAAATGCGTGGTAGTATATTACGTGGTCATCTCAAAGCAACCAATCAGCACTAAGAAGGAAAGCCACGAGCAGCCCTGGCAGCAGCATGGCCACTACAGTCATCCGAGCCATGGCTGATGGTACGGCAGGAATAGTGGAAGGAGTGGGGCAGGAGGAGCAGTGGAAGGAGTGGGGCAGCAGGAACAATGGAAGAGGGGGGGAGCAGGAGCAGTGGAAGGAGCGGGGCAGCAGGAACAGAGGATGGAAGGCGTGGGTAGGAGGGAACATGCAGTGCAGGAGGAAAAAAAAACAGCGGGGTCTTAAATGCGATTAGGCTTTGGACAGTGTCAGACTGAGGATGCGGGCATGAGATTCGAGCATACGGGGACGAGACTGCAGGCGAAAGGCGAAGCATCATATAAAGCAACGAGGCGTTAGCGAAACGTAGAGGCACGAGTGAGTGGCAGGCGAAGAGTGAAGGAGAGGTTGGCAAAGTGGGCAGCAGGGCTGGCAAAGAGACAAGGCGGCAAGAAGAGATGATGCGGTCAGGCTGAGGTGCTGATAGGCAGAGTGAGCTATGTGACGGAAGACGCGTCTAGCGTCTTAGACGGTTGCGTCTAGACGCAGCGTCTAAGACGCTAGACGCATTTCCGGCTAGGTTAGACGCATATTAGACGAAAACCCGGGCAGGCCTAAAACAAATGTTCGGGCAGCTTAAAAAAACTTATGAGGGCCATGGGGAGGGTGGGGGACATGCACATATGGCACATTTGGGTCAAATTTTCGCCGTACCAAAACTTTTCCCCATATTTAGAGTTCACAAAAATCCTCATTTCTCATCATACATAGTTAGGGAACCACGTCTCTCTAGCAGTAGCAAACACGAAGTAAATAGCTACTACTACATCCCTGCAATCACTAGGCCTCCTCCTACCTCTCCTCCTCCTCCTCCTCCTCCTCCTCCTCCTCCTCCTCCTCCTCCTCCTCCTCCTCCTCCTCCTCTTCCTCCTCCTCCTCCTCCTGCCCCTCCCACTCATCGGTGGGAGGGTGTGCACATGTCGCGAAATCGAATGTTGCATCGAAATCGCGAAATTCAAATTCAGCCGCGCGATAATTTTTTTCGGGCTGACCGGAATTTTTTTACCCAAGCGTCTAGCGTCTAAACATGCGTCTAGCGTCTAGCATCTAGACGCTGCATCTAGATGCTGCATCTAGACGCTAGATGCTAGACGCAAGACACGTCTTGCGTCTTCCGTCACATAGAGAGTGAGTCAACATGGGAAGGCTAGGATAAGTTTGAGGATGGGAATTGAGGAGGACATTGGAAGAGGATGGATGGAAGGAGATATGCAGAACACCAGGAAGGATGCTTAAGAGAGAGTTGGATACCCAGAAGATGTTGCCTACCTCACGAGAGGAGTGCAGAGCGGAGGGCTGGATGGAGTTGAGTGGCGTGGAGTGGAGTAAAATGAAGAGTTTTGAGTGATTGGGAAGAAGAGAGCGCAATGTGGGGTAAAAGGTCCAGCATGTTGGAGAGAGAGATGCATGAGACGTTCAGAGTGCGCAAACGCAGCGATGTCGTCTCCATAGCCAGGAGGGGCTCTTGTATTGTATCATGTAGAATCAAACTCGCCCCTTGGTATACGGACGATGTGAATGCATGGCGCAGAGTGAAACTATCAATCAGACCCTAAGCTTGGAAATGTACGACGTGATGAAAGTGCCTTGCAGACCAAGGGTGGAGGACAACACAATGAGAAAAGAGCATTTAGGTGTGGTAGGAGCAGGGAGGGAAGGGAGAGAAAAGGATCAGTGGAAGGAGGGGGGCAGTGACAGGGGAAGGAGGGTATACGCGAAAGCAGCAAGGGAAACAGGGAGGCAAGCAGTAGCAACAGGAGGGGGGGGGGGGAGGAGAGGATAAGCGCCCAGCACCTGGCGCTGCCTGGCAGCCGCCTGCTCATTCCCGCTGCCCCTCCGGCTGCCAGGGCGATGCAGCACTGCGAGCTCCAGCTCGTCACCCAAGCGGGAGAAGGCGCTCACTGCCTGCACAGAGGGGTGCACGCGGGGAGAAATGGCAACAGTGGAGCGGTAGAAGGGAAGGATACGGGATGGGAAGGAAGTGGGGTGAGAAGGACGGAGGGAGGTTGAGAGGGGAGGGGGAGGTCAATGGGGAAGTGGGAAGAACAAGGAGGCGGAAGGGGAGAGTGGTTGAACGAGCGACACCTGTTACGACACTATTGTCAATTCACCATCTCCCCCTCCCCACTCATCATGCTGGTGCAATGACCACTGTTTGAGCTGAATGTGCTTCGGAGAGGTGTGCAAGATCCCATGCTCCCCTAATCCCGTGCTCCCAGGCTCCCATGCTCCCATGCTCCCATGCTCCCATGCTCCCATGCTCCCATGCTACCATGCTCCCATGCTCCCATGCTCCCATGCTACCATGCTCCCATGCTCCCATGCTCCCATGCTCCCTTGCTCCTATGCTCCCATGCTCCCATGCTCCCATGCTACCATGCTCCCATGCTCCCATGCTCCCATGCTCCCATGCTCCCATGCTACCATGCTCCCATGCTCCCATGCTACCATGCTCCCATGCTCCCAACGAGAGGGGGAGGGAGGGGGGGAGGAGGAGGAGGAGAAAACGAGGGAAGGCAAGAGGAATGGAGGGAGAGTAAAGGGGAAAACGAGGAAGATGGGGGGAAAGAGGGGGGGAGGATGGGGGGGAGGAGGAGGAAGGGATGGGGGAGGGGAAAAGGAGGTCCGAGGAGGCGGATGGCAAGATGGACTGAGAAGCAAGTTTAGACGTGGGAAACGGGATTGGGGAACAGGTGCGTAAGGGAGAGAGTGAATGAAAGAAAGACTCTAGCCCTGCAGTTCCACCGGCATACCCCTACGCTGCCGCACAGCTCGCCTCCGTTGCTCATCCTATCCCCACTCTACTGTTACCCTGTCTGCACCTCAGATGCTCCCAGGTGAAAGGGAAAAGGAAGCAAGAGTGGACAGGGGAAACGGGAGAATAGCACAGGTACGGATGGCACAGGTGGGAGTGGAGGGGGGACGAAGGGGAAGGGGAGAGAAGATAGGGAGAAATTGCATGATTTCCCATGGGGTGAAGCTGTGGCGGGTGGAGAGGGGGGAGAAGGAGGAGAGAAAGGGAGAGCGGCGGTGGCACCTTACTAGCACTTGAATGTGGCGTAAAGCACTTGTGAGGCGGGAGTGCCATGGGGAGTATAGTATCCATCCGTCCCAAAGCACTCCTTCCTGCCGCGATTCAGCTCGGACTGCAGATGAACAGCACGTGGGCAGCAGCGACAGAGGCGGAGGCGATGCCATCTGATGCCTGCCCCTTCTGCCACGCAGCCAGTCTCCCTCCCTGCACCACTCCTGACCTTGCTGCCCTACACCCCACGTTACCATGCAGCTGCAGCCGGCGCTTCGGCGGCTGCTGGTGCTGTTGCCTCAACGACTCCTTTGATTGGGTCTCTCCGACCCCTTGGCTCCTGCGCACCATGCACCTGCCCTACCTGCACCTGCCCTACCTGCACCTGCCCTACCTGCACCTGCCCTACCTGCACCTGCCCTACCTGCACCTGCCCTACCTGCACCTGCCCTACCTGCACCTGCCCTACCTGCACCTGCCCTTCCTGCACCTGCCCTACCTGCACCTGCCCTACCTGCACCTGCCCTTCCTGCACCTGCCCTTCCTGCACCTGCCCTTCCTGCACCTGCGTCTACCCCTGTCTCGGTTCTCAACTTGTCCCCGTGCTTTCACCCGCCGCTGCCTCCTCGCATCTGCCCCACCTGCTGCAGCACGTAGCTTCACTGCACCTTAGTTGGCCTCTTGTCAGCTCCAAACACACCACCCGACTCTCTGCTGCAGCCCAGCTGCAGCCGACACTTGGGCTGCGCTACTGCTGCTACTACTTCTGCTGATCGCAGGGATCCTAGCACTTGGGCTCCTGTCCGCCATACACCTGCCATGCCACTGCCGACGCACTCCGTCATGGCACTGGGGAAGAGCAATCCGGAGAACAGAGGGGGGGTTCAGGAGGGGGAGCGGGGTGTGTGTGGGGGAGAGGGGGAGAGGGGGAGAGGGGAGGGTGTCGGGTGTGGGGGAGGGGAACAGAGCCCCACCGTCCGTATCGCTGTGGCATATGTCACATCTACGGGAGGCAGCGAGGCGTAGGGTCGTGCGGGCCGGGGAGGGCGTCACAGGGTGAGGCAATGCGCTTCCTTACTGCAGGCGTTGGGAAAGCGCATTCGCAAGAGGTGTGGTGGGTGAGAGCCCTGAAAGCTCAGAAAGGAGAAATTGAGGAAGGGGAATCGCAGGCGAAAGTGCGAGGTGAGGTGATCGTGTCAAACCCCACGCCGCAATATTGCTCACTTCAAATTGGAAGCCGCTTCCCCCTTCGCCTGCGCTTTTGCGAAACTACCAGTAAACCCCCCATTTCATACGTCCTTCTCCCCGCTCCCGCCTCGCCTTCTCCTGCCATCGCCTACGCACCCCTACTCGCTCCTGAGCATGCTGCTGCTCTCTCTATGCCGTCAACTCGTGAACGCCACGACCCTGCCCCGTGCTGCTCATTAATGCGGACAGGGGAGGTGACACACTCCCACGGAACTGATCTGCATGGAAACCGGCGTGTGTAGCTTTCGCAAATGCGAAGCGTCGCATGACGCCAAAACATTCCATGTCGGAGGCGATCGCAAGCGGTGTAGGGGTAGCTCAAGGGGCACGCCCTGCCTCTCTTTGAACGCCAGCTGTTTCTAGAGCACATCAAACGGAACGCCGCGACGCTATTCCAAGATAAGCGCGGTCTGCTCTTGCGAGAGAGATTTCGCTTGCACGAGTAGCAACGCCGACGCCGCTCACCGTGTTTGGCGCATTTCAGCAGTAGCTGGCAGTACGCCGTCGCGTCCGACGTGGACAGCTTGGCGACACTCGCACGCCGTTTCGAATCTTACAGTAACTAAATTGTGCCGAGAAGCAGAGGGCCTTCCAAGGAGACGAGAGGAGCAGGTGCGCGGGGGTTGAATGGACTAAGCAGCCAGACTCCGGCTGTTGAGAACATGGTCAGCACTCGCAGCGGGTTTCAGATAGGCGCGAGTCGAAATCCACCCGCTAATGACACCGTCGCCCATAGGAAGAAGCATTAGGGATGGCGGGCAGAAGTATTAGTGCTATGACTGACTCAACTCATACGGAATCCGGGTGACTGGGAAAAAAACGACGTCCCTCCCGAGACGCTATCCTTCATGATTACGTCACAGCGTAGCTACAAAAGAAGGGGAGGAATGAATCATGGCCAATTAAAAGCACATTTCGTTGGAGGAGCAAGAAATTGGCAGGTACTATTTGCCGTAGCTCTTTCTGATGCCTGCTGCTGTCAATTGCGCATTCGACCTTCTCGCGACGGCGGCGGCGGCGGCGTTGCACCGAAGGATTGCGCGATGGTGAGGAGAGGAGAAGGATGGAGCAGGGGAGGAGGTGCGAGAGTGATGTTGCTTGTTTCGAAAGGGTGGTTACTTGTTTCGCCTTAGTTCATCGTGAACCTCGCACCCGTAAATGTGGACCAATTGTGCTTAGTTCGTCGTCGAACGAAACCGTATTTCGCGCGAGAGTTTCGCTGGTATTTCCTTGCACCACTTTGAGTGACGATACTTTTGAAATGAATTGAAGCGAAATCAATGGCAGCGAAATCAAGAAACAGATACCCTATCGCAGCAAAACCACTTAGGTTCGACAACGGGTAACCCCTTTTTATACTTGACAGAGTATCCGCCCTTGTGTGATCGCGCTAACTTCCCTCACGCAGCAAAACCATTTTGGTGCTGCTTGTGTTGCGTACAAGGGAAGGCAGCGCGATGATGACCTCTCACGCCACGAGTAAAGTCAATAGTTTTTCAGGCCTCGTTCAACCTCAGTCTAGGCTTCAAGGTCGCTGCATTCCGTCCTTCTATAGATCCTTAGTAATCTCGCCTGCTAGGGAAATGATGGAGACAGCGACACATATTAACGACCTTCCCAACGACGTCCTCGCTAGGATTCTATGGCATTGTGAAGAGTCAACACCTCGGAAATCCGACAGCGACGCGTTATGGTCTCGGCATTCATTGTCGGAGAAGCCACTGTACCTTCATTCGATCGTTTTAGACGAAGATTTCAGCCCTGACGAAGAGTCGTATCCAGTATCGTCCCCCTCCGCCGGTCCAAGCGCTGCCAAAGATCTTCCTTGTGTCGTCTGTGTGCCGTCACTGGCGCGATGTAGCTCACCGTGACGTCTCGACGCTGCTCGTCGAACGAAAACATGCCATTGCCCTCCAAGAACTCTCAGATGCCGTCGCGTGCTTCCCTAATCTCAACCATCTCCATCTGTGCGATTACAGCGTGGAAGCCCTAGACGACACCTTCCTCAATCACCTCGCATCAGCGTGTCCTAAGCTCAAGATTCTTCACGTGGGACGCGGGATCGCTCACCATCCGGACTATGTTGGACCGAAGCATAAGCGCCCCATCACCGAAGCTGGCCTGGATCGCTTCTTCCAGCGATGCACTCAGCTGGAGCAGCTTTCACTGCTCTGCCTCCATCGGGACGTCCACCTACCCGCTTCCTTCTTCCACCTCACACGTCTACACACCCTGGCTTTAACAGCCGCCTCCGCCTTAGAAGCTCCAGATCTGGACAGCCTCGCTTCTCTCACCACTCTCCATATCGCCTCCCCGGAGTTGAACGAGGAGCAGCTGGCCAACGTGCGTCGTCTTCCCAACATCACCAGCCTTTCACTCTCTGCCGGGACCTCGTTTTCTCCTCATGGCTCGGCTGCCTTAGCCATCGCACAGCTGCCGTTGATCAAATCATTGGTCACTCGCCACGTGTTGCTGTCGGATTGGCCAGTGACAAGTCTTGAACGGCTGCAGATATCATATTGCGGAGATTTGAAGCGGCTTCCGGACAGCATTGCGGAGTTGCTGCCGCGTCTGCGTGAGCTGACCGTTTCCAGGTGCGAGGCCTTTGAGGAGCTGCCTGAGGGTTTCTGTTCCCTGGAGCACCTCGAGACCTTGTCAGTCATCGAATGCGACTTCGAATTTCGCTGCCTGCCTGAAAACATCGGGAGATTGACTGCCCTGAAAGCTTTGGTTCTGGATCATCTGCCACTGGCGAGCCTGCCTGCCTCCGTCTGCCAGCTCAGCTCCCTGGAGACCTTCTTCCTGCTCTCGTGCGACTCAATCCGCGAGCTGCCAGCAGGTTTTTGCTGCCTCACAGCTCTCACGACTCTCTGCCTCGGGCGAGTGGCGCTTCCAGCGGACATAGGCCGCCTGAGTAACCTCCACACCCTGCTTGTGAGAGATAGCCTCGAGCATTGGCATCTGCCGCCCTCGTTATCCGAGATCACGTCGCTGACAAGGCTTGAGCTGGACGAGTGCGGCGTGGAGGAGCTGCCAGAGGGCGTGGTGGGAGCGCTCAGCAACCTGCACGAGCTGCACGTCTCGTTCTGCCCTCGGCTCACGGCCCTTCCAGCGTCCGTCACGTGCCTGACTGCCCTTGAAGCTCTCTCACTCGCTGACTGCCATGATCTGGCCTCGGCGCCCACAAGGCTGGACGGCTTGACACGGCTCAAGCGGATGGAGGTGGCCCGATGTGACATGCTCACACGGCCTCCTCTAGTCCTGCCGCCTTCCATTGAATGGCTGAGTTGGGGAGGTCACAGGCAGGACATGGCTCTGCCAGACATGTCCACGCTGACGGGGCTTCGAACGCTTCGCCTGGACGTTGTTGCGGTGGCATGTGGGGTCGCTGTGAGCAGGAGCCTATCGCACCTGGAGCATTTGCAGCTGAGTTTGGCTGGCGATGCGGAGGAGCTTCCATTCGCCTTGAAGTTTCTCTCCCGCCTGCGCACCCTGATTGTTGAGAGCGCGAGGAATGTCCAAAGGCTGCCGGCCGATATCGGGTCAGCAGTGCCGCAGCTGCGGAAGCTGAGCCTGATAAGTGCGGGCGAGTTGAGGGAGCTGCCAGCGAGTGTGACTGTGCTGCAGAACCTGACGTTCTTGGGGGTTTACGCTGCGGCCAAACTGGCTTCTCTTCTGGATGACATCGGTGCCTTATCCCGGTTGCGTGAGCTGCACCTCATTCGCTGCGAGCAGCTTGAGCATCTGCCTGCCTCTCTCACCCAGCTTGCCCGCCTGACCCAGCTGTCAATCTCAAGCTGCCCCATCCGCTCCCTGTGTCCCACCTTTTCCCAGTTCACGCGGCTCAGATCCCTCTGTTTCTCAGGCTATGCGCAGCTGGAGGCATTGCCAGGGGGGTTTGAGAGAGGTGAAGGCACTGCGGATGCTGGATGTGGAGGAGTGTGGGCATGTGAAGGATAGTGATGGGTCTGTGCTCCCCAGAAGCATCAATGAGGTGTATGGGCTGAAAATATCCACATAGGTAAGCATCATTAAGGTACTATGGCATGTAGCATCTCTTTGTTAGGCTGTTTCGTTAGCTGTGATGTGATGAGATGACTCTGAGGTGGGCAGTGCGCATAGAAGGCAGAGAATGAATAGAATCGTAGGAGTTAGGGAGGTTTTGAACGCCTGGAGGAATGGTGCTGAGGGTGATTACTTCAGTGACTGACTGCCGCTGGTGGCGTTTACCACCACTGCCATCTATGTTACTGCCTTCGCGGTACTGCCGCAATTCTCATCACAACTGTCATCACATCCTCGTCTCATAGCCTCAATCTTGTACTACTACCCATATCATTGGCCTCCTCGCTTAGAAACAACAAGCATCCAAGTGAATAATCACTGGGCCGGGTCATGCCTAAAACGTGTCAGGTATAGTACGGT